CAACTACCATTGCAAAGGAAATGGGTTGCATACGTTATCTAGGAGGAGTGTCCGTTAAAAAGTATCCAGAAACCCAACTGGGACGCTAGCCCTCTACCAGCAACAAGTACAAAAGTTGATAACCAAAAACAATCCACAGTGGCGATCGATGGAAAATTAACAAGCGGGCATCAGATTAACAGCCAACCACGACCAGGTATAAAAGGAGGTGCTTCGGTGATGATCAGACATATCATCAGCCCAGATGGAAAGGATTAGAATGTGGGAGAGAAATATATTGGCATCATACGTAGGAATGAGGCCAACACTGAATTGCAATGGAATTTATAGGCGTCCGGCCTATAGGAACACTACAATGCAATCGACTTGAACCGAATCGATGTCTGCATGATGAAATATGCCCTCAACTTCCTGGAAAGGAGCCAGCTTGTGGAAAAGCGAATAATGGAGCGATACCTGGAGTGCAACGAGTAACTCCACTCCATGTTTAGAAGGAAACACCTCCCTCCTGCAGCTTTGCTGAAGCTGCGAGATGGAGGAATCCTTTACGATGAAGATGACCGTCTCATGTACTATCATCGAAGGTACCACAGATTTGACGCTGATATTGAGCCTGTATATAACACATTAATAAACCAGAATTAAGGAAGTTTTAAGTTAGTTTAAGTTTGGCCTATTTTTGTAATTTTTTAAGGCATGTGAATTTTAAGTGCATTGGAATGTAAGCCATATGACATAGGAGAAATATATTTAAAGTATCCTGTACAATGAAATAATTTTATAAATACATGATAGAAACGATACCTTGGTTTTAAGACGAAACATCGGGCTGTGCTTAGCTGCTGCAATCTTGGTGTGATGTCACCATTGTTTGGCTGCACTATGCTAAGTTCCCGTCAACCTTCAGTACTGTCATCGATAATGCTGTGCCTATCTCCGGGAACCGTCACCTTTCAACGGGTTGTGCCAAGATACTGCAAACCGAATGCCGTTACCGTTCTTTGAACTGAATCTGTCTCCTATGTACGTGCAATAAATGTCGACCGTTGTAAAATATTAAAAGTGCGTTCATCTATCTCTTAAGTGTCCCACAACGAAAATAAATTCTTGTGACGACCCTGCCCCCATTCTGTCTTCTTCGGAAACAAAGTTAATTAGTTTTAGTTTAATGTCAAATATATTTTTTATGTAAATAAATGTCTATGCATTTTACAAATATTGATATTTTACGAAATTTTCCAATCTCTCAATTATTTGAAACCATTTGGCCACACAATACTTTCGATATAATCCAAATATGAAGCCACCCTGGTGTAAATTCCTGGAGTACTGCTGCCACAATCTTCACCAGCCGAAACAATGCCAATCAAACTGTAATATTTTATTGTCACTGTAATAAAAATTAGTAATCAAATTAAATATTGAATAAAAATTATTATCATACAATACTTACAATCCAATGCCAAAAATAGTGGTCCACCTGAATCTCCCTTACACGAATCCTTCATCAATTGACTGTCGTGAGCACAAATTTGCGTTTCTTGTATACCCTCTCGTATGCCACGCAAATCATAACCAATGAATGCCTCTCGACACTTCTGCAACGGTACAATATCCAATTTGGTACTTAACAGAACGGAGGATCTGGTTTTGGCTACCGAATAAAAATTTTAGATAAAAATAATATTTAATTTTTTAATTTTTTTTTGTTTGAATTTGATGACCTTACTTAAACTATTTGTTAATCCCCATCCGGTAACATAGGCCAAGCCTAGGAGATCGGCAATATTTGCATGTATACATATGGGATATACAAATTCAGTGTAGGACACGGCTTGTTGTAATTCCACAATTGCAATGTCATTGTAGGTCCGTGATGGATGGTAATTGGGATGAATGTGTACTAACTGAAATTAAAAAAACGGAATTAAAAAAAAACAATCCACGCCTATGATGGTATTTTAAAAAATCCACGCCTATGATGGTCTTTTAAAAAATCCACGTCTATGGAAAAAATAATTTAAAAAAAAATCCAAAATCGAATTTTTTGGATAATTTCTTCAGGTGATCTTCTATTGCCAGAAGTCCTTTAAGAGGCCTTTCTTATATATGGTATGTATATAGTTTATTGTATATATTAATTCACATTGTATTCCATGTTTTGGAAGGGATTTCAAACATTTGTTCGATATTTTGGCGGGTCCAGAACTCTTTTTACTCTTTAGTGACGTTATTAAAGTTATCAGTTCGAAAGTTTTCAGTTGCGCAGGGGGCATTTGCTCATTGAGAAAGGAATTGTAAACATCAGACACTAAATCCATAGTGTGTTGGTCACCTAAGTTTGTAGATAGTTGGTGGTTTACATAAAACTTCTGACTTAATAATTCGGCTTTATCAAAATTTAATGTAAATACTTCATCATTTTCTTTAAGACATGGAATACATTTCGTTCTTTTCTTCAAAATCTTTGAAATATTCCAGAAGGTAGACGAAGATTTCTTTAACGATTTTAAGGTATTATTCCATGTAATATTTCTATATTCTAAAATGGCATTATTCACAATTCTATTAAGAAAATTAACCTCAGATTTATAATGCGGTAGACGAAACCTTATCCATTTGCGTCTACAACTGTTGCGCAGTGAAATTAAATCTAAAATTATCCTGGGCAGACGTTTACAATAGTGAGGATATGGTGATTTCTTTGGCACTGATTCTGCGATAGCCTTTGAAATTAATAAAGTAGTTTTCTCTACCAAAACATCTATATCATTAGTATTATTAAGCGGGAAATTTAAAATGGGTGAGCTATTCTGATTAATGAAACGTCGAAAAGTATTCCAATTTGCATTTTTAAAATCATACCTCAAATTCTAAGATGACATAACATTTTTATTAAAGATGGTTTTCACCGGAAAGTGGTCAGAGCCTAGGTTATTAAGAGTTATGGCTGCAGAAAGATTTTGTGAGACATTTGTTATAAAAAAATCAATAGTTGAAGGATTATTGCTACTATTAGTTGGAACTGTAGTTGGCTCAGGAGGATATACAATTTGGAAAGTGTTAAGGGAACACCCCCCCCCCCCCCTTCTCGATTTTAATTTTTCAAAATTTTCAATGGGCTGGTAAATCAATACCAATGCTTGTTAAGGTTTGTAACTTCGCACATATATATTTGAAGATTTAAAAGAGAAGAAAAATAATTTACAAAATTTTTTGTTGTTGTTTTTTGTAATTAAAGAGAAGTCCTTATTTTTGATGGCGGGCATGATAACTCCTCACTGGAACATCGGAATCCGAAAATTCCAACGGTGTTAGAATGAACTAGGATTATTGACTTCGCTCTAAAATTAACAAAATGGCGGACCTTTGAAAAAAAAACAATTTTTGAAAATCGCTGATTTCTGACCAAAAACCAATATAAAAAATAAGGAAGATCTTCACCGATTGGCTTTATCCTAATTCATACGATAGCAATACACTCACAGAGAAACGTGTAAAATTTGGAATCGATTGGGTTATTAGTTTTTGAGTTATCGTGCCCGTCATTCGCAAAAGAGAAAAACGCGTTTAAAGTTCGAGAAGCCCTTTAGCCGTCACATGATGCTGACACAATAAATCGGCTATATCTTCAAGAGTTCTTGAGATTTTCACTTGAAATTTTGTAGAGACATACTTCAATTAGTGTAGAATCGAATTAAATTAAAAAAAAATTGACCCCGAAAATGGGGGGTCCCCTTAATTGAACACAGATCCAACATAATATTTCCCCAACAATTTGAGCGGAGACAACCCCATTCACGACTTCTACAGTTGAAATCACCACCTAAAATAAAATTTCCCTGTATTCTACAAAGTTGTCTAAAGTCATTTTTAAAGAACTGCTTTCGATTAATTGATGTTCCTGCAGCGCCACCAGGAAAATAACAACTAACCATCACTTAAAGACACTTTTACACCAATATTTTCAATTAATTTGCAGTAAACTTTTGGTAATAAAGAGTGGGATATTACATTTTTTAACACAATTGCAACACCGCCATCTCTATTTGTGGTTCTATCACAACGATAACAGCAAAATTTAGGATTTTTCATTCTAATATCGCTTTTCAACCATGTTTCATTGACCATTGCTATATATATATCCTCACGAATTAGAAAATCAAAAAATGCAACTAGTTTGTTTCGAATTCCTCTTGAATTCCATATTAATAGTTTTAAATTACCAGTATTCATGGCAAGAATTTTAAAGCTAATGTCGAAATTACATTAAATTGTTCTGATTTTGTTTTTACAAGATTTAAGATTTTGTATCAATTCCAAAGATAAAGACATTAACTCTTCGACAGAAAATAGTTCATTATTAGCAGATCTATGAGAATTTACAGTATTATTTATATTATTTTCTTTGTTGGTAAACAGCATGTTAGCCCAGCTATGTTGGTTTCCAGTTGAGGTATAGCGTTGTGGCATATATTGAATACTTATTTACTTAGGGTAAATCGATGGATTCACTCTCGAATCCATCGATTTACCCTCTGGCTAATCAGCGTATGACACGGGAGACAACAAATATGTTGTAATGTTGATGCAGTTTTATTATAACCGCTTATAGAACGTAGAAAAAAATAAACGATGTAGACAAAACTCCGCTGTTGTGTATGAACACTCTGAGATCACGACAGAGACTGATTTCTTATATAGAAGTCACTTCAAGAGAGTTTTTTTTGTATGTAGAAACCGTTTCAAGGTGTTCACCACAACTTCTGGGGACAGAAGGCCTTTCAAGAAGTTTTCTGCAGAAAGCCATGGGTCTTCCATTAGCTACATTTCTCTAAAATCTATATTTGTTATAAAATAAACAACACATATTTTCTTTAATTTTATTATTATTTATTTTATATAGAAAAAATATATTTTTTAACGAAAAAGACAAGCCTTAAATACAAAATTGTTTGTTTTTATATATCTTTGGTTATATGCACACAGGCCGATATCAGTCACCACCATTTGGCCATACAATTTGTTCGATATAATCCAAAAAGGCAGCTACTCTGGTATAGAGACCAGGTGTGGTGTTGGCACAACCAAAACCGGCTGAGACCACACCAACGATTTTATAACTTTTTAAAGATTCTAGAAAATAAAATCACGAAAAATAATGAATTAAATTCCTTGTGAAATATTTTGTTTATAAACCCACCATCCACAACTAATACCAATGGACCACCTGAATCACCCTGACATGCATCTTTCAATTGATCCTTATCTTCGGCACACAATTGTGTGCTAATAATACCATCTTGAATCTGGCGTGTCAGACCATAATCCACAAAACTGGCATTGCATTTCTCGAGGGGTGTTACAAACAAGGGGGCCTTTAGCAGGATATTGGAAAAGGCACGAGCTGGAAAAGATGGCATTATACACATATTTAATCTGTTGCTTTGGAGGTTATATATTTATCACTTACTTGCTGTATTGATGGTACCCCAGCCGGACACCCACAATCTTATATCCTGACTCGGATCAGCTATATCTGTGTACAAACATACTGGGTAAATTAAATCGCTGAATGTTACAGGTTGTTCCAATTCCAAGAGGGCAATGTCATTGTACGTGCGACGTTGTGAATAGTCATTATGGATGTGGACTTGCTGGAAGGGGTTTTTAAGAATTCAAAATTTATTGAAATTAATTTAAAATATAATTCATTTTCAAGCCAAGGTTATACCATATGTCATTTCAATCCACTCCCATTCGTATGGAATGATACACACACACACACACAATTAATGTTTTTCTGATGAGAGCAAAACCAAGCACAAAATGATGAGATGAGGTTTTATAAATTGTGTTGCATACTTTTAGGATGTTTAGTATATTTTCACATGCGGCGAATTTATTAATGATTTTAACACATTTTTTTTACACAAAAAAACAAACAATTGCTAATTTTATAAACTTAATAAAAAAATTAATTAATTAATTAAAAATTAATAATACGAAAATGTATATATGTATACAAATATATCATGTATTAATACATTTAAACGGAATTAGTAATGATTTTTTATTAATGAACATGAATGTGTATAAATATTATTTATTAATAATAATTACAATTATACGAAATATATACGAATGATATATGGGGAGCCTGAGGGCAATGCCTGCAAAAACCACGAGCTTATTTAAAAATTGTTTAAGCAGTGATGTTAAACAAATAGATTTATCATCATTGAGGTCAATGAAACAGGATAGCCCCGTTATGTGGTGGATACCCTGAAACTTGGATCAATATTAAGGGGACCCCCCATTCTCGGGGTCAAAATTTTTGTTGATATAATTCGAATCTACACTGATTAAAGAATGTCTCTACAAAATTTCAAGTGAAAATCTCAAGAACTCATGAAGATATAGCCGATTTATTGTATCAGCATCAAGTGACGGCTGAAGAGCTTCTCAAACTTTAAACGCCCTTTTCTCTAAACACATTTTTGCGAATGGCGGGCACGATAACTCAAAAACTAATAATCCAATCGGTTCCAAATTTCTCTGGGAGTGTATAGCTCTCGTATGAACTAGGATAAAGCCAATCGGTGAAGATCTTCCTTATTTTTTAACTTGGTTTTCGGTAAAAAATCGGTTATTTTCCAAAAATATTTTTTCAAAGGTCCACCATTTTGTTAATTTTAGAGCGAAGTCAATAATCCTAGTTCATACGAGAGCCAGACATGTACTCTTTCTAACACCGTTGGAATTTTCGGATTCCGATGTTCCAGTGAGGAGTTATCATGCCCGCCATCAAAAATAAGGACTTTTCTTTAATTACAAAAACAACAACAAAACAATAACAAAAAATGTTTGTAAATTATTTTTCTTCTCTTTTAAATCTTCAATTATATATGTGCAAAGTTACAAACCTTAACAAGCATTTGTATTCATTTACCAGCCCATTAAAAATTCTTAAAACAATTAAAATCGAATATGGGGGGGGGGGTGCCTTTAATAATTTTTGGTACAGAGACGTGGTACACAATGAGAACTTAAAATACCTAATTACAGCCAAATCAGTTAAAAAACGTGTCCAAAATTCCGAATATTGGGAGGTACCCTTATATGGGGGCAACCCTGAAATTTGGATCAAAATTAATCATTTTTGGTACCGAAGTGTGCTACACAATGAGAACCCAAAATACCAAATTACAGCCAATTCTCTTGGAAAACGTGTCCAAAATACCGAATACCGGGGGTACCCTTATATGGGGGCTACCCTGAAACTTGGGTCAATATTAATCATTTTTGGTACGGAGATGTGATACACAATGAAAACCCAAAATACCAAATTACAGCCAATTCGGTTGGAAAACGTGTCCAAAACCCTCAAAATACCGAATATTGGGGCGTACCGTTATATAGGGGCTACCCTGAAACTTGGGCCAATAACAATAATTTTTGGTACAGAGATGTTCTACACAATGAGAACCCAAAATAACAAATTACAGCCAATTCGGTTGAAAAACGTGTCCAAAATGCCCAAAATTCCGAATATTGGGAGGTACCATCATATGGGGGCTACCTTGAAACTTGGGTCAATATTGATCATTTTTGGTACGGAGATGTGCTACACAATGAGAACCCAAAATACCAAATTACATCCAATTCGGTTGGAAAAGCGTATTTAAAATACCCAAAATACCATATAATGGGGTTACCGTTATATGGGAGCTACCCTGAAACTTCGATCAATATTAATAATTTTTGGTACAGAGATGTTCTACACAATGGGAACCCAAAATATCATATTGCATCCAATTCGGTTGGAAAACGTGTCCAAAATCCCTAAAATACCGAAAATGTGAGGTACCTTTATATGGGTACCGATCAATATTAATAATTTTTGGTACGAATATGTGCTACACAATGGAACACCAAAATACCAAATTACAGCCAATTCGGTTGGAAAACGTGTCCAAAATCCCCAAAATTCCGAATAATGGGAGGTACCGTTATATGGGACCTACCCTGAAACTTCGATCAATATTAATAATTTTTGGTACAGAGATATGCTACACAATGGGAACCCAAAATATCAAATTACATCCAATTCGGTTGGAAAGCGTATTTAAAATACCCAAAATACCAAATAATGGGGTTACCGTTATATGGGAGCTACCCTGAAACTTGGGTCAACATTAATAATTTTTGGTACGGATATGTGTTATACAATGAAAACCCAAAATACCAAATTACAAACAATTCAGTTGGAAAACTTTTCCAAAATCAACAATACACCTAATTTTGGGAGGTACCGTTATATGGGAGCTACCCTGAAACTTCGATCAACATTGATAATTTTTGGTGCAGAGATGTTCTACACAATGATAAGCCAAAATACCAAATTACATCCAATTCGGTTGGAAAACATGTCCAAAATCCCTAAAATACCGAAAATGTGGGGTACCTTTATATGGGGGCTAACCTGAAACTTGGTTCAATATTAATCATTTTTGATGCGGATATGTGTTATTCAAAGAGAACAAAATACCAAATTTCTGCCAATTCAACCATGTTTTGACATTGACCTAGATCCGTATTTTCCGTATAATTTAGCTCCTGGAATTTTCAAAGGATAATATACGATAAATAGCTTAAGTGAAAATGTTTTCACTGTGACCCCATGCCTTGGAATAACCGTCATATTATTGTACTTGCCATGGCATTTTAATTCAGGTCTTGATAGGTATTAACATGGCAAAGCCCAGGATTAGTTTGGGTAAAAGACCTTGTCTCCAGATTCACTCCAGTAAATTAGCGAATTTCTATAATCCGCATAAAAGCGAAGTTATTCTACATCAGTTCATGCCCCGACAGAAGCCAAAGATATATTTATGAGCGTATAGAAACAGCATATGACAGCTGCTCTGGCAATGACCTTAAAATTCTGAGAGGAGATTTTAATACAAAAATCGGAAGGGAAAATATTTTTGGACACACCGTCGGAAAATGCAGTCCGCACGAAGAAACAACGGCATGAGGTTAATTAACTTCGCGGATTCTACACAAGGCCACCTGGATTTCTCCTGATCAAGCAACAAGATCATGTTGTAATAGGCGGAAGGCATTCATCCAGTGTTTTAGAAGTTCGATCGATCCGAGGAGCGAATATAAATTCGGGTTATTACCTTGTGGCAGTCTAGGCTCGCACTCATCCTAATGTAGCAACAAATGTGCGATCTAACACAACACGGAAACTCAACGTCGAAAAGCTGCAAACACATCAGATAACAGAAGCCTACTCCCCAACCACCTACTTGACGAAATCACTCCTTGTCCCGGTAATAATATAGAAGCACAATGGCAAAGAATTGCCCACTCCCTACAAACTGCAGCAAAAGCAACAATTGGGTACCAAAGACCGGCATCAAGAAATCCATGGTACAATTAGGAGTGTCGTAATGCTACTGATGTGAAAAACACAGCGTGTAGGGTAACCCTACAGGCAGTAGCCACACGTAATGCGATGGAGAATTATCAGAAGAAAAGGAGAGAGGAGAAACGTATTTTCAGGAAAAAGAAGAAAGAACAAGAAAAACGTGAGCGGGACCAAATCGAGATGTGGAGGAGTCAGGATGAAGTCCGAAAATATTACCAACGAGTAAAACACCCAAAACGACGGTTTTCGTGCGGGCACAGAGGGAAACCTCGTGATAGATGCAGACTGCGTGGTGAGGATCTAGAAGGAACATTTTGAACAGATTTTGGTATCAAATAGTAACGATGAAGAAGATATCCGAGAACCAATTAGAGATTACGGTATAGATTCTATAACACCTAGCCAAGATGAGGTCAGAAGAGCAATTAGTCGGCTTAATAATAATAAAGCAGCAGGTCCCAGCGAAACTATTCAAGACTTGTGGTCAGATGCTGGTTAAGAGCATGCACCAGCTAATTAGTACAAAGCTTGGAACCGCAGCATCTTGTATCCCGTGCTCAAAAAAGGCGACAAAACAATATGTGTCAACTATAGAGAAATTAGTCTCCTTCCCATCGCATATAAAGTGCTATCCAGCGTGCTGTGTGAACGACTGAAAGCAATGGTTAATGCTATTATTGGGCTTCAGGCCTGACAAATCCACCATCGGTCATATTTTCATTATACATTCCATCTATGTTCGACAAAGCCGTATTCCACAGCCTAATGCACTCAGAGGTGTTTAAAGCCATGTCTGCGTTCCTGCAAAATTAATAGGCTAATGGGTCGAACATTGCGAGGGGTAACCTTCAAACAAATTGTGAAGGGACCTGCCAAAGTAGGACTGGCAATAAATAGCAAGAAGAACAAGCTGATGGTATCAACGCGCAAGACGTCCAGTAGACTCGAACCAACGGTGGAACTAGAAAACTACAACTACGAGGTAATGGACGATTTTATATACCTCGGTACCGCCATAAACCAAACTAATAACAACAGCTTTGAAATCCGGAGAAGAGTAGTGTTGGCCAACAGATGCTA